TAGCATATATGGCTGGATTTCCTTTTTCTTTATAGGTGAAGAATGCTTTGATTGATAAGGAAGGTTTCCTAGTGGAGATGGAGTTTGTGCTAAGTCTTGAAGCATTATTTGAGTTTGAATTGACTGAGAGGAAGCAGTAGCACTGTTCAAGTCTGAGGAAGACCAAAGAGCGCCAACCACTCATTCCACATTGGATGACACTTAAAAAATGTCAAGTCCTGTGCTCAGTGTCAAGAATAAATAAGACATGGTGATCACAAGCCAGAAACTTGAATAACACTCTTGTCCACATTTTGCAGGCTGGTCCCTTTGGACATTTCAATGTAACCTCACAGAGGTTCATTTTGTCCCTGCCCTGCCTTCATTTCAAATTGCATCCACCTGAACATTTTCGGTCTTGGCTTCCTTAACCATCTTCATTAGTATTCACCAACAGTTGCAATAATATTGTTTACCAATTACTTGTTTTTGTTTCTGTCTCACTCACTAGAATATAAGCACTGTGAGGGCAGGACCCAATCATTTCTGTCTCATTCACTACTGTATCCTTGGAATTTAGCACAAGGCCTGTCACACAGCACACACCCCATAAATATTTGTTGAGTAAATGAATGGCCCTTTCTTAAAAGTACCTCAAAGGCTGGGAGAAAGATGTAAACAAATAACTGCAATATAGCATTGGGGTAATGATATACACAGGTTGTTGTGGGCACATTAGACTGGGAATATTACAGTGATGACTCCAGTCACACTGCAGTGGGATGGCTAGAGTTCAACTACAGCTTCTGCCCTTTATTCACTGGGTGACATTGGGTGACTTTCTCACCTCTCTAACCCTTACATGCAGTTAAATAGATATTCTAGTAATGACCTTGTCATGGATTTTTGTGAGAACTAAATGAGCTATTGTATATAAAGAGCCTGTCATGTACTGCAGCACAGCAAATGTTAACTATTATTAGCAAGGGAATTGTGGTTCCTAAGAGCACTATTCAAGATTTACATGTGTTAAGATATACAGAATGATAAAAATGTTAGCCCTTTAGGGTCAGTATTAACTTTTCTAAAGCAAATACCTCTGCCTTTTATTTTTCTTACCGAGATTTCCATATCTTTTCTCTTTGAAAGAAAGGTAGTTGATTCTTTAGTAGAGTCCTGGTTGTAGAGTACCAGATGCCACGGAAACTGAGGGTAAATAGCCTGTTTTCTTTACCATCAGAGGGCACCCATCAGTCAAGTCACTGCCTATTCATCACGATGAAACAATATGAGAGAGGTCTAGGAAGCTGTTTCTGCCACTCATTCTTTTGATCTTTTGAGTATCTACTCTTTGTCAAACGTGGAGCTTGTATGTGGTTATGAACAAGTCCTTTAAACTTTATACGCTTTATAATCTTGAGCACCTACTATGTGTCTCAGAGATCCTTATTAGGCATGGAGGTGGAGGATGGGAGTTCAATATGTGATTGTTGCTAATGTCTTCCTGCTCTTGGTTGTTAGCCAGGGAGGACAATTACTTAGTGTCTCCTTTGTGTTAGACAAGGGGATGGTTGCTGAGGATCCAGAGATGGGTAAGACAGACATTTTAGGCACTCTCCCTCTCCAGAGCATGCCTGTGCCTTTCCTGTCCCCCTCAACTTCCCCTGCCCCACCCCCGCAAGTACATTACCTTTGCCTTTCTCTCTTAAGCCACAGCCCTTCTTTTGCCTCTGTAACTTGTTTCCTTGGTTTCATTCTTCTATGGCATACTTCTACCTTTGTGACTTTCTAAGAAAACTTTTGCTTATAGTTTGAAAAAAAAGACAGTTTCAAACTACCAATAAACAATGTCTTGCCTGCTAAGATTAAAGACATGAGGCACATTCTGTGCAATTTTAGTTCCTTTGACCTGAGAATGGAGAACCTTAAGTATACAACACATTAACACACTGGGCTGTGAACCTCCCAGATGGGTGTACGTTTGTTAGCTTACAGCCATGGCCACTGTGGATGTTAATATGAGTTTGTGAGTAAATATGAACCCAGAAGCAGCTTCTGGTCTGGGGGCCAGGTGTGTGTACAGTAGATTACTAAAGACCTACCATCTTCTGGGTCAGGGTGGGGCTGTGATGAGTTTATGTGGGTGCAATGCTTTGAAGATGAACTTTCTGCCTATTTGTCTACTCATAGTCTTGTTATTAAAGGTGTCAACATCATCTCCCACATTTCCAGGTCAACAATCTTCTTGTTTCTAAATTGAGTGGTGGAGGAGAGGAAGCCAGAACCAGTCATACATCATCATTTTGGAAGGAGGGGCTGGATTGACTCAGACACTCCCCCTCCTCTGAAATAAGCTCTAATTCCAGTGGAGTTTGGCCTCAAGAACTACAGAGTAGAGTTGGGAACTAGAGAACGATTCTTTAAAATATTGAGATCTTGCACTGGCTGAGGAGTTCAGTTGGTTAAGCATTGTCCTGATATGCCAGTCTTGTTGTGGGTTTGATCCCCAGTCAGGGCACATACAAGAATCAACCAATAAATCATAAATCAGTGGAACAACAAATGTTTCTCTCTGTGTCTCCCTTCCTCTCTCTAAAAATTAATTTAAATATAATGAGATGTCATCTCTGAGAAAAAAAGAACCACCACAACAAAAAAAGGAGGCTGCATCGGTGTGAATTGTGCATAGTGACTTCTTTCTGAAGAGTACAATTATGAAAGGAGGTTAAAAAAAGTAACTTTGGCTGTGGCCAATGTGGCTCATTTGGTTGGAGCATTGTCCTGTGGACTAGAAGTTTGAGGGGTTTGATTCCTGGTCAGCGTAAAAAACCAGGTTGCAGCTTCCATCCCTAGTTGGGACATGTACAAGAAGGCAACCAATCAATGTTTTTGTCTCACATCAATGTTTTTTTCTTCTCTTCCTTCTCCGTCATTAAAAAAAAAAAAAGAGTAACTTTACATTGGAGAAACCTGACACACTACCACACTACCTCAAGTGACTGATATCAATATCAACACTGATAAGTCATGTTGATTTTATATGCCCTTGATATGATATGATGAAAATGTCATTTCACCTCTGTGCTCTCCCCCACCCAAACCCCACAATGCAAGTTTAATCATGAGGAGAACATCACACATCCTAACTGAGGGACACTGTACAATTTAATTGTCTAGTACTCAAAATTGTAGAGGTCATCAAAAACAAGTAAAGTCTTAGAAACTGTCACAGTCAATAGAAATCTAACAAAACATGAAAAATAAATATAGTGCGTTGCATAATTGTATACTGTATAGTGGGATTCTGAAACAGAAAAAGGACATTAAGCAAAAACTAAGAATATGTGAATGAAGACTTTAATTAATCATAATATACCAATATTGGTTCATTAACTGTAAAATGTGTACTATACTAACGTAAGATGTTAATAATAGGGGAAATTGGGTGCCTATGGGAAAATATGGGAATTCTCTGTACTATCGCTTCAGTTTTTCTATAATCTAAAACTGTTGTTAAAAATAACCTATTAAATATTGGAGAGGGTCGTATTCAGAACACAGCTATGCTTTTAAATTACTTTTCTTTTTTTTTTTAAAGTTTGTATTATATATTTTTAGACCGAGGGGAAGAGAGGGAGAAAGGGAGAAAAACATTAATGTGTGGTTGCCTTTCACGCGCCCCCTACTGGAGATCTGACCTGGCCCACAACCCAAAAACATGTTCTGACTGGGAATCGAACTGGCGACCCTTTAGTTTACAGGCCACCATTCAATCCACTGTGCCACACCTGCCAGGGTTATTTTTTTCTTTCTTTAAATTTCCTATTTATGGATCATTTATGTGTCAGTTATTGTGGTAAATCTTGTATATAAATGATTTCATGATTTCATTTAATCTTTGCAATTGCTTAATATATTAGGCTTATTTCACCCCCTTTTACATAGCTGATGAAAAAGGAAGAAATAAATGGTGGAGCCAGGGCTGGAACCAAGGATCTTTCTGACCCCCAAATTCTGTGTGGTTCTCTCACAGCATCCTGGCTTTTCAAGGAAACATTATCTTGTCTTAAGAGAAAAGGGTATTCTGTGAAAATCACGAGGGTTGAAGACTGTTTCCATATCTCATTTCAGTCATGATTATCTCAAAATTTCCTCAGTTTCAGGTTAGACCTTCAAGCTGTAGGGGGGTCAAAGTTCAATTCGAAGTAGTGTTGTACTTCATTTTACAAATGGGTAAACAAATGGGATACCCAACAGCACTTGCTCCAAATCACAGAGGACCACAAACCCAGGTTCAGTCAGTTTTATTATTCGTATATTTCCCACAGCTTCTTCTTTGTAGTTAAGAAGGGAAGTAGAAGCTGACCTATCTGCCTTCCCCGTATCTAGGGGGAAACTGGCCCCACACACCGCCCCCTCCCCCCAAGTGGGTGACACACTGTGTGAGGGCTGATCCTGCAAAGGAGATGTTGGGACACTTGTTCCGACCAACAAGGCCATTCTCAGTATATCCTTGTCAAGCACCTACTGAGTACACGGATTAAAGACTGTGTGTCACAGGGAGAGGCCTGCAGAGGACCAGGTCTCCTGGGAGGATGCCTAAGGAGGCCAGCGGATACAGATATGGGGAAGAGAGTGCTGATGGCTCTAAAACCAGAGGTTACTTTTCTGCGTGCGTGGCGAAAGAACCAGAGCGTCTAGTTGCACAACCATCATTCTGAGGCCAAGGGCATTCCCTGAGGCCACCCGCGGACCCCACAGTGGCTTGGCTCTTTAAGGGCGGGGCACAAACGCCGGCGTCACAAAGCGCCGCCACAACGCAGAGCAGAGGGGAGGAGGTGGGGAAGCGGGAAGAGGAGGAGGGCGAAGGGGAGGGAGGAGGGAGGAGGAGGGAGGGGCGCGCGCACGCGCGTCGGGCCGCCAGTCGCCGAGAGCCGCCCCACTCCCGGCGCGCGCCCCTCCTCCCTCTATCCCTCCCTCCCTTCCTCCCTCCCTCCCTCCTTCTTCTCGACTCCGTCGCTCCCGCGGCGCGAGGCACTCTCTTCTCCTCCGTCGCCGCCACTGCCGCCGCCGCAAGACCCCTGCGCGCCGCGCTTCTCCCGCCCTTGGGCCCTGCGCGTCCTCCACCCCGGTGGCCCCTGAGAAGAACGAGAGGGCGAGCGAGCGCGGCGCTCCCGGGCCGGCCCGGCCCCCTCCCGTCACCATCGCCGGCCCTCCGCCGCCTTTCTCCGCTTCCACCTTTTCTCCCCCCCCCCCAAGTTGAGGCCCCCTCGGGGGGGGAGGACCGAGACCAGGAGCGAATTCCCCTAACTCCCTCAACCTCAACCCTTCCCCTTCACCTGGCCCGAGTGAGAGGAGAAGGCCCCGGCCAGCGTCGTGTGTGAGGACACGGGCCGGCCCACGGGCCGTCTTGGGCCTTGTCTGGCCCGCTGGGTGTGTGAAGACCGGGCCCCGGTGCGGCCCGGCCCGAGGGCGAGCCGAGGGGAGGGGCCTGGTCCGGCTCCGCCGGTGCGTGAGGACTGGGGCCCCGGCCCGGCCCGGCGCCGCCGCCGCCGCCGCCGCGATGGCCCAGCAGCAGATGACCAGCTCGCAGAAGGCCCTGATGCTGGAGCTGAAATCCCTGCAGGAGGAACCAGTGGAGGGCTTCCGGATCACCCTGGTGGATGAGTCCGACCTCTACAACTGGGAGGTTGCCATCTTCGGACCCCCCAACACCCTCTACGAAGGCGGCTACTTCAAGGTACCCCCACCCCTTCCCAGAAAAGGTTTCCTTCTCGGCGGCCTCCGCTCCCCGCCGCTTTCGGCTGTTTTCGGGGCCAAGAGTGTGAGCGTGAGCGCGGGTGAGTGGAGGGGGCTCCTCACCTCAGCAGCCCCCTCCCCCCACCCGTGGAGGCAGGAAGGCCTTGCTCACCCAGGGCCTTTTCTTTGTCCTGGGGGCGGGGGTGGAAGGCCAGACTGCACCGGGAAATAGGAAAGACTCTCCGGCTAGGGTAGTGAAGACCCGGGGAGGAAGAGGACTGTCTTTGTTTTGTTGCCTCAACTGAGGGTGTAAGGGAAGAAAGATGGTCAGTCTTTCCCCCTCTTGTCCTCACATCAGAACCATCCTTGCGCCGGTTGGAACTGCCCCAGAGGGCAGAGTGACCTGCACTTATTGGATTGGACCTTTCTTTTTTGGGGGGGTTGGGGTGGGGGAGGGGTCTGTCATTGCAGAGGCTGCCTGGTGACCTGACATTTTGAGGATTTGATGGGCTTCTGTGGAGTGGTAGTTCCAACTTTGCATTCCAGTGGGCGGTAGTGAAGGATAGGAAGAAACCTAGGGGTGTTACCAGGGGTACCTGCATTTTTCTCGCCTTTATCCACTTGAAGGAACTTTAATTTAGAAACCCGTTCTGTCCTCATTCTCTATTTACTTCTGTGGTGTTTCAAAATGCCCTTTGTCCTCACCCTGCCACCAACTTTACAGGCTTTTTTTTTGTTTGTTTGTTTTTTGTTTTTGTTCCTACATGGAGAAATATTCACAGAGGGTGGAACTCGTTATGTAGGGAGATTGATTGTTTCCCACTTAAGTGAGACGAAATTAAAACCTTTTGCTCAGGTGGTTAACTCAAGCAAATGGGTGGTCTCACGAATTAAAAGTGTATGAGGTGAGATAATTCCACTGAGTAGGACTGGCTTCGTAAACAGTGACCATACACATTGTTTCCATTGTTTTCCACGACTTTAGGACGTTCTTGAATCTGGTGGGTTTTTAAAAAAATTATTATTTTAATTTCATGGTAGATAATTCGGTAACATTGAGGTTTATTGTTTTTTATTTTGTTATATTTTAAACTATTTTTGAAGCGATGAATCAGAGTCTGAAGGTTGAACTCTCTTTTTAAAGTTGGCTTCTTAAAAACATTTATTTTTGCCCTGGCTGGTGTAGCTCAGTGGATTGAGCGTGGGCTGTGAACTAAAGGGTCCTTGGTTCAATTCCCAGCCAGGGCATATGCCTGGGTTGTGGGCCAGGTCCCCAGTGGGGGCCATGTGAAAGGCAACCACACATTGATGTTTCTCTCCCACTCTTTCTCCTTCCCTTCCCCTCTCTCTAAAAAAATAATAAAAGAAATAAAGTATTTAAAAATATTTATTTTGATTGATTTTAGAGAGAGAGAAACATTGATTTGTTGTTCCACTTATTTATGCATTCATTGGTTACTTCTTGTATGTGCCCTGACCTGGGATGGAACCTGCCACCTTGGCATATCAGGACATGCTCTAACCAACTTAGCTACCCTGCCAGGGCTGAAGGTTGAAGGTTTGAAATGGTCGGTACAGAGACCAAGGGAAATGAGTGCCGAGGAATCCATTTAGTTTTTTTATTTCCAAAATTAAGTAAAATAGAGGAGTGAGTCAATCGTACTTTGTTTTGAAGGGAGGTGGTGCTATCTTGGCAAAAGTTTTAAATGAGTAAGTATCTTAAGTCATGTATTATAGTTACGTGTATTTATAGGGCTACCCAATAACTTTTGTTTTTTACACTTCTAAAGGTAGAAGACTCTGATTCAGGCTTGAAATTGGGTCAACATTGTAGAAAATGTGAAGAATTAATTGATAGGGAAATGTTTAATATTCATGCCTATGATAGTCACTGACTACCTAATAAAAACAAACATGTTTTTAAGATATTATGTAAGAGCAGTACCCTTACTAGTAGTATACATTGTCTTTGTGGTCACCATAAACTATACTTTTTCAGATGCAGGTATTTAAAATCACTAAGTAAATATACAAGTTATTAGGTGAGGAATAGTCTCTTGTGAAGTATAAATTTTCATTTATAGATACCAGAAAAATTAGTTGCACAAAATGGGAATTTACGTGGTAATTTCTAGCAGAGCATTATTTAGCAAAATTTCCTGGCCAAAATTTAGTGGAACAAAGTTTAATTTCCAAAAAAACCTATTGCTCTCCCAAAACTATCATTAATACTCAAGGGTGCTAGTTAGAATAATCACACTTTAGTGGAGTTTGTTTAAAAGAAATTCTGTATTCCAAATTATAATATGTTTGCTTAAGTAACTGTGAAAGGGATGTGAGAGCTCTCTTAGTTTGGAGTAGGTAACATGTAAAAAGGATTCCTTGTAGCATACATTGATTGAAATGCTTTTTAATTTTAGTCCTATTTAACAAGAATGGTTTAATCTCCAGTTTTAATGTTAGATTCCTTTTTTAAAAAAATCTTGTTGTTTATGCTATTATAGTTGTCCCAGTTTTCCCCCTTTGCCCCCCTCCACCCAGCTTGTCCTGAGATTTATTTTTGAGTGTTTTTAACTTTGTGACATATAAAAATGTATGAAAATTCTTAAGCAGGTTTTTATGTTTTAGTCTTGTGTGAGAATTTTGTTTAATTTCATTTTCTTTTGTTTTTTCCCCTTATCATATGGCCTTTTATCCCAAAATCCTTCATTGGAAACAGGCAAATTTATGGTCATGAGCAGTTAACATGAGTGATAAGTATTAAACCATTGCTTTTATCTCACTGCTTTCTTAAATCAAGGCCTTTAGTGTGTTCCACTACAGCTGCAGTTAAAAGTTGGCAGAGAACTTTCCCTATTACTATTCTCCCTTCAAATTATAGTCCTTCAACATTTAGTATAACTTGTTTTCAAGTTAAACTCTGTTTCTCTATTTTGCATAATAGTTCCTGAAGGCAGTGGACTGTCAGTTATTTATTTATTTTTCCAATTACAATTTTTATTTTGCCCTAACTGGTTGTTGCTTAGTGGGTTGGGCATTGTCCCACAAACTGAAAGGCTGCTGGTTCAATTCTGAGTCAGAGTCAGGGCATGTGCCCCAGTTGCGGTTCAGGTCCTTGTTGGGGGCATATGAGAGGCAACCTATCATGTTTCTCTTGCACATTGATGTTTTTCTCCCTCCCTTATTTTCTCTCTCTCTAAAAATGAATAAATAAAATTCAAAAAATTATTTTTATTTTTTTTAAAGATTTTAAAATTTATTTTTAGAGAAGGGGAAGGGAGGGAGAAGGAGAGGGAAAGAAACATGAGCCAGTTGCCTCTCACATGCGTCCCAGCTGTGTGCCCTGACCTGGGATCAAACCCATGACCTTTTGGTGCAAAGGCTGATGCTCAATCCACTGAGCCATACCAGCCAGGGTCAAATTTTTTCATTTATTGATTTTACAAGAAAGAGAGAGAGATAGAGAGAGAAGCATTGATTTGTTGTTTTACTTACGCATTCATTGGTTGATTCTTATATGTGCCTTAACTAGGGATCTAACTGCAACCTTGGCATATCAAGACAGACTATACTCTAACCAACACAACTACTTGGTCAGGGCCCTGTCAGTTATTCTTAAAATTTTTTCTTCTTAATGTAACTCCTTTCACTTTTACAAATTAGTAGGCTTCTGACTGATCTTTTTCACTATGAAGTAGTCAGCTGCAGTCTGTTTTAACCATGGCATCTGTTGTGCTAGAGACTTGTGAGACCCATATTTCAACAATTTTTTTGATTCATCCTGCTTTTACTTATTTTTTTAATATCTAGAATCAATGTGATTCTTAGCTTGGGGGTGGTTTGGATGTATGGAAGGCAAAAGTAGTAACTTGTGTCTGTTTTTTTGGCTTCTTATAAATTCTTTTGTGGCTTTGCTATTTTTTTGTCCAGTTGCTAATTTTCATTGACTTACCAAGTGAATTTCTTTGCTGCTTTGAATTTTTTCTCTAAGGTCAGTCGTTACAAAACACAAAGTAGAAGATGGCTTAGAACACTGAGAACACCAAAAACTGCTCTTGTTTTGGAGCAAGTTGGAATTTTATTATGTTACTGGAAAAAAAATGATGACTTTTAATAAGTTCACCACAGTGCTTTAGAAAATACTATCTGCCAGGGCGGGTGTGGCTCAGTTGGTTGGGCACTATCCCTCAAACCTAAAGTTCACAGGTTCAATTCAGATCAGACCCCCCAGGGTGCATATGGAAGGCAGCCAATTGGTGTTTCTCTCTCATATGGATGTTTCTTGCCTCTCTTTGTCTCTTCCTTCCCTTCTCTCTAAAATCAAATAAAATTTTCAAATAAAATAAAAAATTTTAAAAAATACTAAAATTTCTGATAATGATCTTAGTGTGGCTGTGAACTTCCTTGGAGCTCCTGCATTGATCATCTAAAAGCATGATAGCAGTGAGTCTAGAGGTCCAAAAGTGAGTGCCTCTTTCATAATGTGCATAACATAAAAGTTGAAATGATATGTAAAGCTTAAAGAATAGCGATGAATTTTTGGTAGTTGATTTCATTCAATAATCTGGTTGAGGATATAAAATATAGGTGTGTTCCATTCTTTAGAAAACTCCAAACTGATAAATTAGAAAGTATTTGTTATATACTCAAAGTTTTCCTTAATTGGAGCTTCTTTGTCAGATTTATACTAAAGAAACTCTTCAATAATTTTTTTTATGAGACATGCTACCTACTGTGCTAATGAGGCACCCTTATAATAGTTTTTTTTTAAATAAAGGGTTGCATTATTTTCATTTGTTCTAAAAGAAGTTAAACTTTTCTGTACCTTCCTCCCCAAAGAACAAGAACCCTCAAAGTTAACTTTTGGCCTAGTAATGGCCTTCTGATTATAGAATACTCTATTTTATGACATTCTTTTTTTTTAAGATTTTATTTATTTATCTTTAGAGGGGAAGGGAAGGAGAGAGGGAGAGAAACATCAATGTATGGTTGCCTTTCATG